TGTATCATTCATTTGTTTAACCCAAGATAGTTACTGCTGCAAATTGTCATTAATGACCCTCATCAGAGTCGACATTTCCTCTCCTACTTGTGTAAAGGTTAGAATGTAGTAATCAGGACAGGCTTGACCTTTTAGGGGATGAGGTACAGAAGACTGTTGAAGTAGACATTCCATAACAAGGGGCCAAGAAAACTACCCCTGACTACCCTTAAGGCAGCGTCTGGGATGCTCTCGGACGTAGGTTCGAATCCTCATCACGGCCCTTGTGGATTTGTTTACCCTTACTGTACATTAGTACCAGTTGAGTGGAATTCAGATTTTGGGTCGTTGAGAATTACCTTCAGAGCCCACTCATGGAGGTAGTCCTTTATTAGCTGTAGGAAAGATACCAATGGTTCGAAGCGAGGCGAGCAGTCCGGGGGTACCATACTGAGTCTCACACTCCTACAGTGTCCAGTGAAGCAAGAGAACTGTTGTGGGTGAGAGCCAGTGACTGGTGCCACTTGGTGGGGGGAGATCAGCAGGAGAACGACCAGTCATGTGATCATGTTGTCAACTTCACAGTCAACTTTGGTGGTCAGAGAATCATTCCATCTGTTGTGTGTTGCCCTTCCATATCTCACCCATCCCGTCTCATCTCTCGTTTCTCTTCCGTCCCCCCCCCCCCATGCCCAATCACTTGAGGTGGACGGTAGAACGACGGTCTCGCTTCATGCATTTCGGCGTTCAATCCCCGACCGTCTAAGGGGATGGGCACCATTCCATCTTCCCCCCCCCCGTCCCATCCCATTCCTTATCCTGACCCCCTTCCAAGTGCTACATAGTCATAATGGCTTGGCACTTTTTTTTATCATTTCTATTTTACTTCTTCCGCCCCCTCCCCCCCCTTCTCCTGTCCCACTCCCTTTCCCTCTCCTCCATCTGTCCCTTACCCCTCTTTCTTTTCTCTCCCTCTATCCCCTAAACCTTCCTCTGTTACCCCCTCTCTCACTCTTTCCATTCTAATCCTCCTCCTCCCTCTACCTTCCGGTTGTGCGGAGGTTGCCAAGACATACCTAGCCTCGTGCCTGCCCCGGGTCTCCCCCCCCCCCACCCCCAGGCCGTGTCCACCAGGACCCCGGTGGACCCCAGGGGGACCCCCCGGCCCCCGGTGGACCCCCCGGCCCCCAGGGGACACTTCCCACGGCGACAGTACCAGAGGAAAATAGCCTGGGCAACTGCCTGCCTCGCTGGCTACCCCCCAGAGAGGACAGGACCTCGTGGAAAGTAGCACTGAATGTTGATTATTACCGCTGCTGACTTCCCACACCTGCAGGGCATCAAGAGGCAGGTGTGGGGGAGGCAGGGCATCAAGAGGCAGGTGTGGGGGAGGCAGATGTGGGGGAGGCAGGGCATCAAGAGGCAGGTGTGGGGGAGGCAGGGCATCAAGATGCAGGTGTGGGGGAGGCAGGGCATCAAGAGGCAGGTGTGGGGGAGGCAGGGCATCAAGAGGCAGGTGTGGGGGAGGCAGGGCATCAAGAGGTACGCCAGAATGTGCACAAGAAAAGGAGCAATGGCGTCGCTGAGAGAGAGAGAGAGAGAGAGAGAGAGAGAGAGGAGTGCTATAAACATTAAGGACCCAAGATTTTTCCCTACACACCTGACCGCTAAACACACTTGGTATATCTAGCCCAACACTGTTTTATTTTTTTTAAAGGAAATTGCTAAACGTCTTCAAAGGATATCTAATTAACAGGGTTATAACTCAGGCGTCAGAATGTGGGCCAAGGCATCTCAGGGCGGCTGGTCTAGAGACCGGGCCGCGGGGATATCGATCAGCGGCACTTCTAGATAAAAGATGAAAAATAGAGAAAATCATAATTTATCTTATTCCCATACATCTTCCTTTTTTTTTTTCTCCGTGCATATTAATAGTTCGAACCTGTTCCCATTTTTTACCCTTTTCCTCCATAAATAAAACCATCTCCAATATTCATGTACCTCTTACCTTATCTTCTCAAGGAGCTGTGAGAGGGTCTTCACATGTGTTTCAGCATATATGAATGTTTATAGATGAATATACTGTGTGGAATTCATATATACACACTCCGATGCTTCCACACATGCCATGTTCTGTTTAAGGCTATTATATTAGTATTATTATTTATTGATATATACACACACATACACACATTTTTTTGTATGCAATTATTGGGGGAGGGATTTCTGGTCAGTATTTCATCTGAGAATTATGTTCTGACCAGTTCGGTTTTCATCTAGTAAATCCATTGGTAGGATTAGATGACCCATCAGTGTAGATTTAATCTAACTCGTTTCCGGCTTTATAAATTTCCTCAAGATACTTGTGCCTCATTTCTTGTGGTATCATGTTGGACTTTGTCATTGTCATCTCGTTGATGATAATCCTGCAAGAGTCATCCTCCCAGGGAGGTAACCTCTCTACAGGCAGGAGCTCACGGGCTTGCTCAAGCAGGTGAAGTTCTTCCAGGTAGCAGACTGATCTGTGATGCCATTTTGTGCTGGTCCTGTTTCCTTCTGTAAGTAGCACAGAACTCGGTTTTTCCTTGGCAATATCGCTGCAAATGGAAATCTCAATTGCACGCTTAGCATTCAGTTCCTCGAGTCAGCTTTTAACACTGGAGAAGTAATTTCCATCTAATTTACGCCATCTAATTTACGAGAGGAGCTGCTCCTCTCGTAAATTAGATGTTTTGCCAGTTCTTGGAACTCCAAGAATTATTGCCATGGATTCATTTTGTATGCTTTGAAGTCTTTTTAAATCACTTTGGGAGTAGGTTCACAAGACTGGTGTGGCATAGTCTATGACGGAGCGCACATAGGCTGTGTACATCATTTTAAGCACGGCAATAGAGGCTCCATGCCCATTACAGGTCATTGCTTTCAGTGCCCCGAGTCGACTTTTACGTGTCCCTATGAGTTGGTTGAGCTCCTCTTTCTTCCCCTTGTTAGAGCCGACAGTTACGCCAAGGTACCGATAGTGGTCAACCCATTCAAGTGTACAGCTCTCTAACCTGTCCCTCTTAACTACTATCCCGCCGTCTTCACGTCATTATCTCGCGTCTTCTTTCACCTCTTTAAGACTTTTGATGCTTAGAATTTTGCTTACCGCCCCTCCCCCTGTCTCCGTTCCTCCCATCTTCTCTCTCCATCTTTCCTCCTACCTCTTCCTGCCACCCCCATCTTCACTGACTCCCTCATGTCTCCCAACCACTTCCCCACCCCACCCCCATACGGACGTCCCCCCACTACCCATGTGTGCGGTAGATAACCTTACTCCGCAGGCTGTGCTGGTGCCAGCAAGGATAGTATAGTGCTCGCAGTGCTATTTGCCAAACCTCCATGATGTTGGGAATCTTGTTTACGATCCTGAGTGGCGTGTGGCGAAGCATTCTTGGATCACGATGATGTGTAGGTCGCGTTCATGAATCCAAAGGCTTTCCCGGGTAGTCACGACTTCTTGGAAGTTAAGATAATTTTCCCTCGAGTAGTGATTAGTAACCGAACGTCCCCGTCGGCATTTGAAAAACCCGCCATCTTGGGACAACTCGTGACCGACATTCTCCCGCGCGCGCCAGTTTCCTTCCTCGCTTACGTCACGAAGACGAGTTTGGCGCTAATATTAGCGGGGCAACTAAGAGTGGTGCCAGGAGTCGGTGGCACCCAGCAGCGCACTCATGCCCAAGGTATGCAGCAGTTCCGTATTTAGTTTAGACAACAGTACGTCAAGCAAGAGATGCTGGCGGTGCGTCTCTCCAGAGTGACTAAAAGAGCGTTGGACACCGGTCGACAGCCAACAGGAAAGGTGATTAGAGAAAGCAGACAGCAGTTCCTGTGAGCCAGATACCGGTGGCGCGTACCACCTGCCTCAACTTCTTCCGGTTCCTGCTGACTGTGGTGGGGCCACTAGGTGAGGGTGATGGGGCAGGGAGGGACTGAGAGTAATGGGAGGGAGGGCAGGGTGCCTGGGTGGGGTGTCGCGGATGGGGGCGGGGTGGGGGCGAGCTGCGGGTATTTATAACTCGGCCTTCTTAACTCGACAATAAAAATACCCCGCGCACGGAAGCTGTAGTTGGAGCAGTGTGTGTGTGTGTGTTGGGACACCTGTGAGGCCAGTGGCTCCCCCACACACACACACCGGGGTTGGGTTCCGGCTCCGGTGCTCGCCTCTGGCACCACAATGCTCCACGTTACAAGCTTCCAACTCTTCACATTTGGCTCGACTCCTCATCTGACTTACCACTATAGGAATAAATGTTTCTCTACAAGTTTTGTCACTGTGGTAGCGGGTCTTTTCCCATCTCTTTTGGACTCTGTTTCTATCGTAGACGTTCTTAAGAACCTCCCTACAATAGCAGCTCTAAGAGCCATGATATTTTGGACTCTGTTTCTATCGTAGACGTTCTTAAGAACCTCCCTACAATAGCAGCTCTAAGAGCCATGATATTTTGGACTCTGTTTCTATCGTAGACGCTCTTAAGAACCTCCCTACAATAGCAGCTCTAAGAGCCATGATATTTTGGACTCTGTTTCTATCGTAGACGTTCTTAAGAACCTCCCTACAATAGCAGCTCTAAGAGCCATGATATTTTGGACTCTGTTTCTATCGTAGACGCTCTTAAGAACCTCCCTACAATAGCAGCTCTAAGAGCCATGATATTTCATAAGACGGGACAGAAAATAAAATAAACTTTTAAAGAAAAATATAAGAGGAAAACCAAGCTAATTAATAACTCGATTCTGCAGGTACAAATGGTAAATAAACACACACACACATCTATCTAAATCTATCTCTATATGCAAATTTAAATCACATTGAAAGAGTGATTAGGAACACAATTTCCAGTTTTATGTAAGATTTCACAACCCAGGACAACGTAAATTAAGAGCAGGAAGATCCTGTCTGTCAGTTACTCGACTACTATGACAAAATTCACAGAAGCATTAGAAGAAAACAAAATGCAGATGTTGTGTACACAGACTTTGCGAAGCCATTCGACAATTGTGACCATGGAGTGTCATCTTCTTTTATGGGCGAGGTAGGAATAACTGATAAAGGAGAGAGTGTTGGATTTTCAACTCTTTGGAACAGAATACAAAGATTAACAGTCAATCAAGTGCAGTGAAAAGCTCTGTGCCCCAGGGTACAGTCCTCAAAACACTATTTCTCATTCTTCTCAGATTTATGCAAAAATTACTAGTTACAGCTTCGTGTCATCCTTTGCAGTTGACACAAAAATCAGCATGAAAATTTCCTCTGTAGAAGACGCTGAAGACCTACAAGCCGATGTAAATAAAGTCGTCGATTGGGCAACGGAAAATAACATGATGATTAACGGTGATAAGTCCCAGATACTGAGGTATGGTGGAAACGGGGAACTTAAACGAAATGTAAGGTACAGGACACAGACTTACTCGTAGTTGGAAAGCAACATGTGAAAGATCTAGGAATTATGTTGTTTGACGACCTGATATTAATGAACATCACAGAGCAAATATATCGGCGGCCAGGATATACTATTTAATGCAATTCAATGCAAATTTACATCACTGGTGCTGTCCCGTCTTGAGGAGAGCTTAGTACTCGCTTCCTCTTTCAGAGCGGGAGCGATCTCTGAATTAGAGGGAATACAGAGAACATATACGGCACTCATACGAACGATAAAACATCTCAATTATTGGGACCGTCTCAAAGCTCTCGGAATGAACTCTTTGGAAAGGAACTTTGCCCATTTGTTTCTGCCTCGTGCGGGAATCGAACCCGCGCCACAGAATTACGAGCCCTGCGCGCTATCCACCAGGCTACGAGGCCCCTGTATAATGTAGAATAAAAACTCAAATGATGTAAGATGATTTAATTTATACTAGTGTTGTGAATAAAAGTTGTAATGAACACAATTGCAACTTCTTATTATTATCATTAATAATAATCAGAATCCTGGTTTTAAAATTAGATAAAACCCATTTTTAAACCCAGAATTTGAATTCTGATAGATTTCAACTGGCTAAGCCTCAATACATGGAAACAGTTTCATACATGGAAACATGTAATTGAAATCAAAACAAAAATTTGTGAAACAAATTGAAACAGCATACATGGAAACTTGTGAAACAGCATACATGGAAACTTGTGAAACAGCATACATGGAAACTTGTGAAACAGCATACATGGAAACTTGTGAAACAGCATACATTGGAACTTGTGAAACAGCATACATGGAAACTTGTGAAACAGCATACATGGAAATCATACATGGAAACCTAACCTAACCTTGGCAATTTATGAAGTTCAACTACAATTGCTGTGCATAAGCCTAATCAAACATTGCTCTGAGCCGAGGACAATCTCTACCAGAGCAGTTGTTTAGTTTTACAAATACAGCAATTAACAAAAGGTGGCACCAAGCCTGGAAGACTATGTAGCACCATCCGTGGCTCCCAACACTCAATATATTCCTAGATATCATTCAGGATGCCAACAGAACAAAAAGATATGAGACAAGCAATGTCAAAGTTATCTGATTAAACAAAGATTCTATCAAGGAACAAGTAAGTCAATGGACTATTGAGAAGGCTAGACCTTTGATCATCCTGTCAATCAGGACATTCTACGAGGTGGTGCCGGACTGTATGAGGGACAATGCAGTTTGAACAATAAAGGTCTTTGTTTCATCAAGTGTCCTGGCTTTATACGATATAAATTTTAGTTTAAGACAACAAAATATATTGTCATATAAATAATATGGGTACCAAACATTGTCATATAAATATGGGTACCAAACGATAATACATGGCTCAATATTAATGTGTTCTCACACCATTTGAGTATTATTAATCTCTTATTTTGCTCGACAATAGCTGTTCAACGGTAGCTGTTCAATACCTTCCCAGCAAGCCCTACAAATAATGCCGGAACAAAGGTGGATGTCTTCAAGAAACATTTAGATAAGTGCCTTTAAGAAATGCCGGTCCAACCGGGTTGTATTGAAAATGTGACCTGTGGGCTGCTCCAAGCAACAGCCTGTTGGACCAAGTTATCACTAGTAAAGTCTGGTCGCAGGCGGGACCCGGGGAGTAGAACTCTCGAGACCTTCTCCAGGTATGCTCCAGGTAATCTAACGTGATGTATTAATGAGGGAAAAACAGTAGGAGCCGTGACTGGGACTCGAACCTATGTTCTGGATACTCCCAAGCCAACGCCTTGGACCCTAGAGGATTCAGTTGAATCCCAGGTTGCTATCCTTTCGACCATGTTGTGGCATAGTGGTCTAAGGCGTATGCTTGGGGGGTACCCAGAACATAGGTTCGAATCTTCGTCACGGCTCCTACTGATTTTGTCCATCTATCTATAAATCTATCTATAAACCTATCCATAAATCTACCCATCTAGCCATAACTACTCGTCTATCCATAAATCTACCCATTTATCCATAAATCTATCGATATATCTATATCCATCCATCCATACATCTATCCACCTGTCCACCACACTATCCGTCTATTCATTTACCGTCTGTTAGTCTCTCGTATAAAAAATATGTATGTCTAATATGTGGGTGGTCGCCGGTGAGAGAAGCCTAATGGCATGAAATACTAAAAATAGTATAGTCACCCCCTTTACCCTGAGACAAGGGGCGTGGCTGGAGAAACCTTTGAAGTTGTGGGAGCATCGTCTATTTTATGCGAGTACGGGCAAATTATGAATAGTGTGAAATTTCTATTAGGTTTTCCAATTAGTAAATAATGGTGTAGACTACTACCATTTTTTTGAAAATTGAAAATATTTAGCTGTGTAGCTGGCCGGAAAAATTCGTCGATGGGGTTGTGAATGTGTGTCACAGGTAGGCTGTTCCTTTTGTGAATTCTGGTGGCTAGCCTATGTTTGTCCTTTACCCCAGACCATGTCCTATGCCAATTTGGATGAGGCTAACCCCAAGCGTATGGCCTCCAGTGTAGCTGTGATGGTGCTGGGGGGGGGTCAGTGTAGCTGTGATGGTGCTGGGGGGTCAGTGTAGCTGGGGTGGTGCTGGGGGTCAGTGTAGCTGGGGTGGTGCTGGGGGTCAGTGTAGCTGGGATGGTGCTGGGGGTCAGTGTAGCTGTGGTGGTGCTGGGGGGGTCAGTGTAGCTGGGGTGGTGCTGGGGGGGTCAGTGTAGCTGTGATGGTGCTGGGGGGGGTCAGTGTAGCTGTGATGGTGCTGGGGGGGGTCAGTGTAGCTGGGGTGGTGCTGGGGGGTCAGTGTAGCTGTGATGGTGCTGTGGGGGGTCAGTGTAGCTGTGGTGGTGCTGGGGGTCAGTGTAGCTGTGGTGGTGCTGGGGGTCAGTGTAGCTGGGGTGGTGCTGGGGGTCAGTGTAGCTGGGATGGTGCTGGGGGTCAGTGTAGCTGTGGTGGTGCTGGGGGTAAGTGTAGCTGTGGTGTTGTGGGGGGGGTCAGTGTAGCTGTGATGGTGCTGTGGGGGGGTCAGTGTAGCTGTGATGGTGCTGGGGGGGTCAGTGTAGCTGTGGTGGTGCTGGGGGTCAGTGTAGCTTTGGTGGTGCTGGGGGTCAGTGTAGCAGTGGTGGTGCTGGGGGTCAGTGTAGCTGTGGTGGTGCTGGGGGTCAGTGTAGCTGTGGTGGTGCTGGGGGTCAGTGTAGCTGTGGTGGTGCTGGGGGTCAGTGTAGCTGTGGTGGTGCTGGGGGTCAGTGTAGCTGTGGTGGTGCTGGGGGTCAGTGTAGCTGTGATGGTGCTGGGGGGGTCAGTGTAGCTGTGATGGTGCTGGGGGGGGTCAGTGTAGCTGTGATGGTGCTGGGTGGTCAGTGTAGCTGTGATGGTGCTGGGGGGGGGGTCAGTGTAGCTGTGATGGTGTTGGGGGGATCAGTGTAGCTGGGTGGTGTTGAGGGTCAGTGTAGCTGAGATGGTGCTGGGGGGGGGGTCAGTGTAGCTGGGGTGGTGCTGGGGGGGGGTCAGTGTAGCTGTGGTGGTGCTGGGGGTCAGTGTAGCTGTGATGGTGCTGGGGGATCAGTGTAGCTGGGTGGTGCTGGGGGTCAGTGTAGCTGTGGTGGTGCTGGGGGTCAGTGTAGCTGTGATGGTGCTGGGGGGGTCAGTGTAGATGTGATGGTGCTGGGGTGATCAGTGTAGCTGGGTGGTGCTGGGGGTCAGTGTAGCTGTGGTGGTGCTGGGGGGGTCAGTGTAGCTGTGATGGTGCTGGGGGGGGGTCAGTGTAGCTGTGATGGTGTTGGGGGGTCAGTGTAGCTGTGATGGTGCTGGGGGGGGTCAGTGTAGCTGTGATGGTGCTGGGGGGGTCAGTGTAGCTGTGATGGTGCTGGGGGGGGTCAGTGTAGCTGTGATGGTGCTGGGGGGGGGTCAGTGTAGCTGGGTGGTGCTGAGGGTCAGTGTAGCTGTGGTGGTGCTGGGGGGGTCAGTGTAGCTGTGATGGTGCTGGGGGTCAGTGTAGCTGTGATGGTGCTGGGGGGGATCAGTGTAGCTGGGGTGGTGCTGGGGGGTCAGTGTAGCTGTGATGGTGCTGGGGGGTCAGTGTAGCTGTGGTGGTGCTGGGGGGGGGGTCAGTGTAGCTGTGATGGTGCTGGGGGTCAGTGTAGCTGTGATGGTGCTGGGGGGGATCAGTGTAGCTGGGGTGGTGCTGGGGGGTCAGTGTAGCTGTGATGGTGCTGGGGGGTCAGTGTAGCTGTGATGGTGCTGGGGGGTCAGTGTAGCTGTGATGGTGCTGGGGGGGGTCAGTGTAGCTGTGATGGTGCTGGGGGGGTCAGTGTAGCTGTGATGGTGCTGGGGGGGATCAGTGTAGCTGTGATGGTGCTGGGGGTCAGTGTAGCTGTGATGGTGCTGGGGGTCAGTGTAGCTGTGATGTTGCTGGGGGTCAGTGTAGCTGTAATGACCCTGATTGTAATACCTCGCCTTGTATCTATCTCGACCGCGCACTCCGCTACTACCCCTGAGCTAACCGTGCAATCTCCGCTCTTTCTATGGTAATAACAGATGCTATACCGATCATATAAGATGTTAACACTCGGGCCGTCATACGAAGACGTAAACCAGTACACAGAGGAAGGAGAGAGAGAGGAAGAGGGAGGCAGAGCGAGAGGAGAGAGAGAGGAGAGCGAGAACGAGAGCAAGGGAGGGAGAACGAGAGCGAGTGAGGGCGAGGGAGAGTGAGACACTAGTGAGGGAGAGTGAGACAGAAAGATAGAGATAATCGTAGTCACAACCTATCGTATGAGTTACCGAGTGACGCTGCCACCACCCTGAGTTACCGGACAGGGGACCGGAGTGAGAGTCGTAGGTCTTGCAGATGGAGTAACCTACCAGGACAGGTGTAGGGGACAATTGAACGGTACAAGGATCCTGGCCTGACACTCGAATAATCCTGACCACTTGGGAACTATAGTGTACACAAGAATAAGGCGGGACACACCAACACTAATACCTCAACACGGAAGACGAACGGGGGGAGGAGTACTGAATAATTAAGAGCACTAGGTCACTAGGGCAAAGGGGACGGTAGGCCCAATATCACTAAAGCAAGGAACCATTAATACACATTTAATAACACTTAATATCTGACTTTATTTGAAATAATTAAATAAGACACTCCCTAACTATATTCCCTACTAGAGGCCAAGGGTACTGAATGAGGTGCTTTAGTACAAGAGAGCCGTACTTACTCGTATGTTGTTCCACAGTTTCCCTGGAGATGATGTTCTTTCCCAGAGTCCACACACACCTCCCTACTGGGCTGTGCCCACTCAACTGACTCTCCTGATCTACTGCTCCTCAGCTGAACATGAGGGTTTTGCATTTGTTGTTTAGGGGTTAATCCCTGAAGATTACCATGACGGCATCAATTCTGACCTCTTTGTGATTCGATGACCGTTGACCTGACTCTATGGCTAACTTATACAGAGGTGTAACTTTTACATTGTCTGCCGTCGCCTGACTGGCGCCTGTGGGTTGTTCATCCTCCACGTGGCCTGTTCATGCTGTTATGATGTTCATGTACTATGTACTGCTCTCTTGTTACATATCCCCCAATGTCCCGGTTTAAGAAAAACCGTGGGCGAGGAACTCGAACATGGCTTTTCTTATCCCAGACCATAAAGGAACTAGCACATGCCTCGAAAAAAAAATAGCTACCCTATCTAAATATATACATTTCACAGTCGAGAAATATTTATAAAGACTCTCAACAATAACAGTTACCATGGTAACTCAAAATCCAGGCTGACCATACCTGCATGGCAGCCCATCAAT